GAGCTGAAGACGTTGCTAGGCAACGGGCTGCTGGAAAAATGATGACAAGAAATTACGGACGACGAGCAGGGAGGAGTGGACACGGGAACTGGCCATGCCGCGTCCTTATGATTCATCTTCCACAGGCGCCACGCAGCACCTCAGAGTTTCGCGTCCGATGGCCTCTTCGCCGCGCAGTTTTGAGGCGGTATTAATTAATTAATTAATTGCAGACACACGATAAGGCTCTCTCTCCTGCGGGAAGTCAGGCGAGAGTAATTTGTTTGGGGCGGAGTTCGCTCAGGAGCCCTGCAATTACAGTAATTGGCAGGGCGTGACCCAGAGGTCAGGCATCGATCCTTCAGAACCTGCTTTGATGTCGTGGAAATTTCGTACCAACACGCCCTGAAGCTGTCAACAAAAGTCAATGAAGTCCGACGTCTGGCTCATTACCGAGTCGGTTTACCTACCAGCATAATTCTCCATCCACGTCTTGGACTTCCCAATGCGTTCTTTCCACGCGACCTCAGCGTTCATAATGGCGTTTCTTTCGAGACAGCAGCCACTCGCCTCCCCTGCAGAAGTGAAAAATGTAGCGGTGCGGGCGACCTTGGCCGGACGGCCAAACGGGAACCAGTGCAGTTATGTTAGGTAAAGGAAGGCCACGCAGACAGTCACATTCTTAGTTTATTCTACCTTTTTTTCACTTTCGTAATCAAATAATAACTTACGTTCACTAATAACTTCAAACGCACACACGGCTAAATACACTAATGTAGTTTCGGCCCAACTGTTTGTTACTCCAGAGCTAGAAACAAACTTGGAACCATTTTTCGACATTCCTTCTGGAACCACCCTTTATCACCCATCTCCTCAGCAAAGCCGCCTTCCCAGTTGAAGCGACGTTCATAATATCGCAGTTGTGATTAGGCAGACAAGTAATTCGGGAGCGCAGCTTTCACTGGCAACGGACCGCGCCGTATCCTGGATACGAAGTACAGCACCGCGATGCTAATCTGCAGCAGGCCGCGTGTTACAGACCAGCGTACACAAAATATATTAATCACTTCAGTCTCTCTCGATGAAGGGAATTTCTACTCGTCACCAAATCTTACAAGTCGTAAATTACCAGAAAAGAATGATGGGAAAACACGAGGCATTAGGTCATACGCGTATAAAAAAAGGCTGAGCAACGTTACCATGGAAACGGCAATAAAAAACACATTCGTGAAAACTATGTCACGAGGCCCAAGATTCCTTAACAGCAAACGATCAGCACCGAAGCCACCAAGAAATGTCTTTCTTATATAACGATGAATTCAGGGGAAATGGGACGAGCGAATTATGTAACACACACACGAGAAACTAGGAGGAAAAAGTGGCCTTGCCTCATGCGAGTAGGATTTCAGGTTCTCACGGCTGTCTTCTGGGTCGTTGGTATGATTAGGCAGTGTGAGGAGTCCGCTGCTGTCGCAACAAAATGGTGAAACGGCTTTCGTTCGATTGGAAGTGGAACGGTGCTGAAATGCCAGCACGTTGCCTGGCCGCGTGTGTGCGAACCGAAGGCTGCATGCAGTTGCTCGGAATCGAGAGCACATTGTCGTGCGGTGCGCGGCCCCTGTCTGTCTCTCGATTAATCAAAAAATACGACTGAGGCCAGCCGTCACTGTGTGGGCCTAGGGCGGGCGGAGATTCTCAAAATGTTGGACGAAATTTGTCACAGAAGTGGACTTTCCCACGCACTGTCTTCGGGAGAAGTGAGTGGAGACACGTATAGGAATTTCGTCAAATGCTTTTACATCGGCGGCGTCAGAGACATGAAAATAAGCCATTTACAATTGCATAGAAATCTGATTCCATGTGTGAGGAACCCGAAAACAACGAATAAGTGTAACGGCTCCGCCATATTGTGCTCAAACTGCGTCGTTCTGCAGTTCTTTGGCTTCGCGATCGTCACTTATTTCATTTCTTTGTACATTTGTCCACACAAAACTTCCGCTCAGCGCCACTACGATGATAGGGCACTGTAACGGGTGCTGCCAACTACACGACAAAATTTGTTGGAAAATAAAATAACAACGTGAGGCGCACAAAGAAGGCCATGTAAGTTTCTGAATTCACGAGGGAGTCAAAACAGGTCTACCAACGCAAACACAGCACGAAAATAAAGACAAGCGACTACTGCCACGCGTTTCTTTGAGAACACGTTTTCCAGCACACCACGGACAGTTAAACAAATGACATGAGCGTAGGTCACGCTCGAAAACAAATTCCGATCGGCCGTTGTAGGAGGCCATGCAATTTGGAAGTTGAACCTGAGGCCGTGCCATAACTCAGACTCACGTATTAATTGCGGGTTGGGCAATGGGTTCGGTTCCAGAGAGATAATAATAATGGCAAAGCAAATTTAACTCGAAAGAAAAGAGCGTGACCAAGAAACTGGCCACATTTCGTATTCGGGAAGGCCGATTCGCAGTCTTATATATCACTCAAGGTGATAGAAAACACAAGGCAACAGTGTCAGGAGACACGTGAGCTCGCGATTCCCAGTTTCACTAGTCAAAGTAGTTAGGGACAAGAGAAAGCGTGTAAAATACCGTTCGCAGACGCATAAAATTGTGGTTTAATATTTGCGTGACGTCCTAACCCCACTTTTTCATCCAAGTGAACAACTTCCGCTACGGTGAAGGGGGCCATGACGCGGCTGCATTCCTTTACGTAAGGATTGTTCTACACTTGTGTGATTTATAGCTACAGCCCCGCCTTCTTATTCTTTTTCTTCCTTGTCAATCGGAATCTGAAGTAAAAGTGGATACACGGCTTGTGTGGAGAGCCTCTCCCAGGGTCACCTAACATTCGCACCAAATTCCGTGCTTTCGAAAGCAGCCGCTTCTTTCTAGTGGCAATGATTCCCCAACAAAACAAAACAAAACAAAGCCGATTCAGCCTCTCCTGTCGCCTGGCTGTGGAAATGAACGGGACGGTCCAGCAAAGCAATGCAGTTGATTAAGCAGCGTTAAATAAAGACAGGATTGTGTACTGGGAAGAGGCGACTCCAGTCCCTAGGCACCCGCGGTCCTGACGCCTGACACTTGAAAGGTCCGACCTCGCAGGACGCGGTCAGGTGACCTTAAGACATCCGACTGCCAAGAATGCGAAGGAGCACGGGGGAAACCAGTTTGCAAAGTCGAAACCGGTATCTCCTCGAGTATCAGCTGCTCCGGATTAAGAAATGCGTGTATGAATTCCAGGTTATCACAGCAGAGAACGTGTCAGCTGGAATTTCGAGCTGTGCAGGAACACACTGCATCCATCGTCAGAGCAACAGACAAAACAAGCCGACCGAGCGTTGTTGCGTAACGACCGCGCCAGGAAACTGGAACAGACAACTTTCACTTGTCGGCGCAGCGCCGAGCCCGGACACCAAGAATCAGAATTTACACAGTTCACCGTAGATACCAAATCTGATCGAAATCCACTTGATAACAGACACTAGACAGGGAAAAGTACAACGCCCCCCCCTCTCCCACCGGAGAAGAAATTCACGTTTTAGTATCTGGGCCACGATTGGCTGTCAGCGTGGGATGAGAATCTTTAATGTTCGGATGAATAAGAACTACTTAATTCGATTCAAACGGGCAAAGGAGAACACCTCCAACTTCTCGCCACATGCATTCGGCCACTCTAGGGGGCCGTGATCAGTGACGAACAAGGCTCTGACTTGAACGGAACCTCTGGAACACAGAATACACTCGGACACAGGCACTCACTGACCTCAAGCGTAAAAGCCCGGGGCATATTACGACGGCCTGCTTCAGAATCCGAACCACGCCCTTTGATTTCAGCGTCAACATTACAGGAAGCAGTGACATTAGCGACCACGACCGCCATTTTGTTTGCATCTGTAACGTTTTCACACGGCGGATGTTGACTCCGAGAGAGAGAGAGAGGAAAACCGAAAATGTCTTTGTTCGGGCCAAGGCTCGATCTTTCTCCATTTGCCTGCTTTCGTCCTCAAAGGTTCTTCTTCCTTTCGCACGCCTGGAAGTCTATGACACGATAATATTAAAAAATACTTAACATAAAGAGAGAGTCGATAAGGACTGGATTCATCTGGCTCAGGAATTTATTAACATTTTCTTTGTTTCTCTGCCCAAATCGCCCTTCCGTGACCTCCATTCCCCTCTCTCATCTTCGGCAAACGCACCGGATGTCAACCCAACGTCGTCGTGATGCGACGTTTCGTCCCGCTGTTCTTGATACCGTCCGCTAATTTTTCATACAGAGAACAACAAAGCAGGTGCTGTTTCCCTCTCATCTTTTCTTTCTGAGGCTCTTTGTCGTTGCCATGACTACGACAGGCAAGCCCCCCCCCTCAAACCTTCAGGTAGCGCCGTGTCGCTTTTAATCTGATTTTTAAAACTGCATTTGCGCTTTCAAAATGGCGAGCATTACAGACGCTAAAATTTCATTCTGTATTCGTCCGCGCGAAGGCAGGCGATGTGTGAGGGCGTAAAAAGTTCCTCCTTTCACAGGCAACAGCGTAGAAACTAGACCACGGCACTGGGAAGTGTCAATTTGCAAAGAAAACATGAATTGGAATTTCGGACTATTTCCTCGAATTCAAATACGTTCTTAACACTGCATGCTGGGAAGGCCAGCCTCGAACTTTCACCACAACGCAAAAGCGAGAAAAGAAACTGAACATCGAAATGTGACAATTCAAGGTCCAACAGACGAAAATCGCCAACTCGTCTGTCCTGAATTTGTATTTTTTGCCAGAATTCCCTTATCAGAGGCAAGAGGACGCCGCCGCTGACATCTAACACAGCCCACACAACGCCAACTGCAGGCCGCGCACTCGGGGAATCCCCTCGGGCGTATCAGAGGCAGTCCCAAGATCCGGTTTCCTTCTTACGTCCTTCCAACACGCTCGATCTATTTCCATTGTTTCTTCTTTTTAGCAAAGACAACACCAAGGCACAATATGGACTCCACGAGTCCTCGTTTTTGTTTTCAGGGAGGACACAACTTCGAAGTACCACGACACACAAACATCTGCGATACAGAAAAATGAAACGCGTAAACTGATGACGTATTAAGACGAATGTTGCAGTCTTCTGGGACGTGACCTATATTTCAAACAGACAGACGTACTGCTTCCATCATCAGGGCGACAAATGTTCTGCCATTAGGCACATTTTACAGCACACAATGGCTGAATATTGAGAAATGATGAAACGTGGCTGGAAATCAGACGTTTCGGTCGGCGTCTTACCCTGAAGGACGATTGAGGAAGTGATATGAGGGCGGTGTCTATCGAAATGGATCTTGGGAGGTTACGAACTGAAACGATTTTACGAGAGACGTTGTGAAACATCGGGCTCCGTGCAAGACGTAATCTCTCGCCGGTCAGAGAATCTCTCACCGCTCTCCGGCTTTCAATTGTTCTGCCCCGATTTGCGTCAGAACGAAAGCAAGAGCCCGCGTACATTTCGTGGGACAGCGCCACCGCCTGTCTCACAACGCGATTCACCACGATTCCAGGTACGAGCCGCTGAACGAGGGCTTTAGTTAACGCGGCGACGAACCTTTGCGCTCCACAACTGTCTACGGGTCCTGAAGATGGAGGATGTTTGTACGTCCGAAACGCTAGTAAGCAGACTGTACCTCGCAACACTTCCGAGTGCCCCTGTGCTGCGCACTACTGAGGGAACAAAACACTGTCCGGGAGCGGTCGGTAACTGCTCGCGCCACCAGACTGTCTAATCACAGGAACGTGAACTGTACGGAGCGCTCTTACAGGTGGCAGCACTGCACAGACAAAGAGCTCAGTCTCACTCCCGCCCCCCCACAACGAATTCCCTCTACATACATTTTAATATTATTCTCCCATCGAAACCTAGATCCGTCAATAGGTTCTGTGACCATGTGCATTTCTCAATTCCAATCTCAGCCTCTGTCGAGCTTCACAATATATCACGAGAATGAAACTTACGAGGCTCACGGATATGGATAAACGGATGATTACTGTGGAAGGAGTCGGTACTGCCCCAATTCGAGGCACTATCTTGGCCTGATAGGTCGAGAAAAACCACGGAAAGCTTTAGGTCGACACGTTCGGTCTGAGGCAAAGTTACACTGTATTGAAGTCTCGTAAAGAACGCCTGTGCTAACATTCACTGCACGTGTTAAGCTCCAACAACAATGCACATTAAAATACAATTCCTGTGACCTGAGGTTTCCAAGGCAACCTCGGAATGGATGGTTTACATCCACAGCAAGACAAAAACCACAAACTGGATCAAGTTACGATAACTAGTACTTATTTAGTTAGTATCCACAAAGGATCATTTGATACGTATTTTGTACTGTCTCTACGATGTTTACGATTTAAAGATTCAACACATCGCATCTAGATCGAGAAACACGCGAGCTAAGATTAGGCAGTTCGACAGACCACAGTAGAAAGTTTCGCTTGGTCTGAGCAAGAATTCACGAAACTCCGTTTCTTCAAGAGCGAACACTCCTGGGTTGTGACGTCGTGTCGTCCTCTGGGTAGACCACACGTAATTCTACCCTGAAAATGGAGGCAAGACGTACCTCGGCAACGTTGTTGTCCACCTACATGATCACACAGCGTCACAACCCTTCACACCGCGAAAAGAATCTAAAACACAGTTTTGGTCGCAGTGCAAAATCTTCAGTGAGTTCATAGTGCCCAAAGCTTTCTTGATACTACATGTTACATTATTGAAAAACTGTAGTGGAATGTCGACGCAGGTCTTCGGGTGGTAACGCCGTGAAGCTCACTAAAGACCTGAAGACGGAATGTTTCTCCGAAACATTGGAATCTACCTAAACGTCCGCACGTCGTCACAACCCAGAAAACCAACGTCGATATCTTCCCCACCTTGAGAACCTCAAACGCCCGTTATGACAGTAAGAAACAGAAGACAGTCAAACCTCTTTGTGTTGAAGGGGCACAGAAACAGACTAGCGTCGCTATGAGGGGAAACAGACGTCCCGGCGCCGCGTGTTTCATCCTGGAATACGGATGTCAACAAACAAATCAATACACAAAACACACATATCGTGTTTCAGTCTTCCACTGTCACAGAAATGCGCGGCATTCTTTCCGGTCCGCTACATTCTATTTATTGAGTGCACTTGTTAATCCCGTTGGGATATCACTGCCACCGAGACCGTTATGTCGCGCGTAACAAACTTTCACATTATAACTGATGCTTGTAACATTACAAATAAGTTTTACGAATTTATACTTCAAGCAGTTTTCAAACCAAAGTAGCTAACCCAATGTCTTGGAACTACACTGATCACTGTGATTAACATAAAATGTCTCCATTGTTGAAATAACAATCATACGTTTCTTTATCTCGAACTGTGATAAACAGTTACAATACTGTTAGTTTCCAAAGTTTCATCTTGTCTCAAACCCAACAACTCATAAAACAGTACAGAAACTCCCTCACTGATCTATTCTGCTGACGATTAAACTTGTATACACCAAACACTGAACACAAATTGCACATCACTCGACCTGCCTACTCTTCGTCAACACGTCCACCGCGGCTTTGCCCATACCTGCATTCCGAGCCACTCACTCGCCGATACCCCGTGACGTCACGAGCTCTCTCATTGGCCGTTGCTATGCGATTTCGAAGTGGGGGTTCACAACCTGCACGCACCTACGCTTGCAACCAGTGGGTCGCGAATCGAATGGCACGTGTCAAATATAAAACTACGAGAGGAAACGGCATTTATGTTACTTGGGGGTCACACGACAAAAATGTTTCCGAATGATGAGTCAGAAACTACTGCCATGGTCTGCTTTAAGGTACTTGGGTGGAGCCGAGTCCTCGAGAAGCTGGTAACTGATCAGCTAGTACCAGAAGGTTCATAAACATGTCCACAAGCATCCACATCCTGGCCCACACCGTATTTGCCCAACACCAATTTTAATATTATCCATCCCCAATAAAATCCCAGTGGTCTCTTCCTTTGACAGAAATTCTGTAGGTGGTGGATCTTTATAAACTTTGAGACTTTATAAAAATCTGTTGTGTAGACGGACTGTCAACCTAATGATCAACACACAACAGGATGCATTCTTTGGAGCAATCTGCCATTCCAAACGCGTTCTTCACGCCGGACCTCGTGCACTGTGATCAGAAGTCATAATCAAACAGTCTGTTCAAATGGGGACCTTGGATCCCATTGCCACGCAACTACAGCCCTCGTCAAGCGGGCTGCCCGCCTCATGGCAGAAACCGACTCGCTGAGGGACGTGCACGGGCCCGTAATGCGTTATTCGCAGACACCAAGAGCATAAACAACAATTTCTCTTTGCTTTTGGATCCTGCACTCAACTAAAAGTGAAGTCTTCATGAATGACAAAGCCAACCGAGTGTGCGTGGTCTTGGTTTTAGAGACTGGGGTCTCCTTGCTAATATAATGAAATAATTATGGATAAAGACACATGAAAATCTTGAACCACTGCAGTTCTCTGGAAAAACAAAGTCTCTACCGATTCGCGTTTCTTTAAAATGACCCGTCTCCTTGTCAGAGTGCCCCGATGCAGTCCCGCAACCTTGTCAACAGCTACGCGAAAATGAACCGTCGTCCTGCTACAGGAAAAAACTTGTCGCTGGCAAAATGCCGTACGTCAAATGTTAACGATTCGACAGTCACTGACATTATTTTCATCATCGTCGAACTGAAGTAAATACTGATATACTTACCGTGCTGTTGTGAAGAACATCATTAGAGAAACCTTTTTGACTGCACGGTGTACGAACGCTGTCGCTGTCGCTGTCACACAATCAACTTCTTGGTCGTTGCCTTCGTGTCCCAATGTCGCACATGGCGATACTGTTCAAAACACAAAGTTGAAACATGTCATGATGGGACGATCTCCAGTGAGATTAAACTGTCAGAATCACATGTAAATACGTGAATAATATTGATGTTAACTTAATCAGGGGACAGACAAGCAGAGGCCCGTAAAACTATTGAATAAGAAAATAATTGAGGATGAGAGTGACCAACTTTGCCAAGAAATAGGTTCATTGTAAAGGTTTCAGAAACTGTCTCCCTGTTGCATTTTAATTCATATTAAAGTTTAAAAACCACCTCAAGATTATTTATTATTTAGAAATGGATGTCCGATAATATTTCTTTGCACTTCAATTATTACTGGAAATACTGAAAAGAAACACCTTACTTTATAAGAAGGTAACATCGCATATGTGGCATCTCACCTTCCAAGTAGACAGGATATATGGAGGTGAAGCTCCGCACTTCCATATCCTTCGCAGCAGACGGTCAACTCTGCCGAACAGCCTATTTAACTCCTCCTTTACTGCCACTGTGCATAAACAAAGGCCACGAAAGCATACGGAGCTCCCAGAGTCATTATACTAGCACCAAATGCACAATCTTGCAACACTTCCCACTTCACTTAATCTGGACGCAATGAGACACATCAATGCATGTCTATGAGGTGACCCTCTAATGCGGGTGACAACGTGCCTTCCATGTTATTGGAAACCTTCCAAGACACATACTTGTGTATTGACTCTGCATGTGTCCGCCTGTGCCTTGCCAAGTTCGCATGATCTGGGAAGTGCTTGTGACATATCTCACACTTGTAGGGCTTTGCACCTGCGTGATTTCGACTGTGCCGCAACAATTCTCTCTGCTGCATATAACTCTTGTTGCAAAAGTCGCACTTGTGAGGCTTTCCATCCAAGTGGGAACGAGTATGCACGAGAAGATAGGCGTTTGAAGAGAATCGTTTGTTGCACAAGTGACATTTGTACGGCTTATCACCGGTATGGGTTCGCGTGTGAGCGACTAAATGCCCCTGTTGAGAGAAACCTCTGTTGCACATATCACATATGTATGGTTTCTCCCCAGTGTGAATCCGCCTGTGCTCCATCAAATGTGCCCGTTTAGTGAAGCGCTTCATACAGAAATCACATTTAAACGGTTTCTCTCCAGGATGTGTGCGGAGGTGCTGTGCTAGGTTTCCACGTTGTGTAAAGTTTTTTTTGCAAATTTCACACTGGTACGGCTTTTCCCCAGTGTGAGTACGTTTGTGTTCAGTCAAATGGCCCTGCCTTGTAAAACTCTTTACGCACAGATCACATTCATAAGCCTTCCTCTGAGGTTTTGTGCTCACTTTCTTACTTACTTCAGATTTATATTTCACTCCAGATATTTTGGAAGAATTATTTTCAGGATTTTTGGTTTGTAAAGTACAGAGTGATGAGAAGATGCTGTCATCATGATGGCTGTCAACGTGTTCAACTGACATACTGTTTCTACCAATAAAGTCTTCAGTGCCAAGAATCAGTTCCACACTGTAAACAAACAAGTCACATGGCCACTTCAGTTTGTTGAAGAAAACCGAAGGATTCTGTGCCAGATGGGGGGGGGGATAACTCCCAGAATAAAATGGTTTGAGCTGGGACACTCCTGTCTAAGAACCTGACCGTTAACAGCTGCGAGATGGGTCTAATTCTTATCAGACAAGAAAATAATTTTTTCACTTCTACACCTAGAAAAATGGAGCTTCATTTAAAACATGAGTCGCTACTTCCCTCAAGGTGACAGAATGAACCACTCACCCCATTTAATATGGAGAATGCTCAAGACAGAAAGGCGATAAAATCATTGCAATGAGAGGGGCATTTTGTACTCTTCACACAATATCACTAGGGTTATTATCAGTAAAAGAACAATGTGAGGCAAGGGTAACTTCTAACTAATTCCACATGTGTCACATGTTTGATGACAGCAATGCTGAATGTGTCATGAACACACCAATACCTGCAGCAGAGCTACACGACTTTTAACGAAGAACATTTACCAAACAAAATCAGATTTTTTTGTATCAAACCTTCATGTGATGACTGAAATCTGCTGAGAAAAATATTTAAGGCCTAAGAAAGAGGTTGAAAGAGGACAGTGGGAGGGAAATAATTACGTTAGAAATAAGAGCTCTTTAACTAGTACTGTTTGGATGCTAAACAGAAGAAGATAAGAACCTGTCAGAAATCATGAATTTTCTTAGCAATTTGACAAAAAGAGCTATTTTTCAATGACTTCATATTTCTTATAAACATGTCTTACAAGATATTTATTTTCACAGATACTGTGACTTCTAAATAAATTAAGCTCTATTCTGAATATGTTAATTCTGTATAAGACATGCAGGAAAGAAAACCGTAGAAATTGTACAACTTTCACTACACTGGAAGCAGAGCCCGTAGAAATTGTACAACTTTCACTACATTGGAAGAAGAGAACTTACCTGTCTAAACACACGCCGTGATCTCGTATCATTTCATCATCCTCCAGCTCCTGCTTAATCACTGGGCCGCCCCATATCTCCTGTGGTTATGAAATGAATGACGTTAGTTTGCAACTAAATAAATCCATGTCAACATGAAAATAATAAACTCTTTTAAAATTGTCTGATATTTAAGGCCTGAAACATTTATTTGCAACTTATTCTGATACAATGAGAACTGATTTTAATATAAAGGAAATGTTGCAACCAATAAAAGTGGCAGATTGAGAACCAGCAAAGTCCCTAACTGGACGTCGCACCAAGCCAGCTCAAGCCATTTCTCTAACATCTGCTCTTTACTATCATTCCACCATGTTTTCAGTTTACATTCTGAATGCTCATCAACAGCTTCCCTTACCAAAATTCTGTATGCATGTCTTGTCTCCCACACCCAAGAAAGAATTCTCCAATTATTTGACTGCTGTAACCTTTTTTGTATGGAAACAGATCCAGTTACAGGAATGTTGTGTTCCTAACAAAATAATATACACTGAGCAAGTCCAGAAATCCAGCAATAGTAAAAGTTACATACCACAATCAGAAAGGGCAGAGTCTGTGGAGATCTGTTGGTTAGTTTACTGGCATTTGTGGGGAGCAGCAGAAATATTACTGCTTGGAAAACACCAACATAGCTTTTCATTTTATTAGACAGGTTTTCTGTGCCTTTATTTACTGAATAATTCTTTGTCAGAGTTCTTACTGTGTTGAATGATGAGGCAGGTATTGAATTATTTTAATCTGCTATTCCAGAATTTCCCTGGAGGGTCTGGTAAAAGACACAAAAACTTCAGGAGGTAATTCTTTAGAAGAATACAAACTGGCTGCCACTGAAATATGAGCAACAGCACTGACTACTGCACCACTCCACTGAGATTACTTCATCCTTTACTTCTGTTAGGATTACAATACACTATTGCACTTCTAAATTCACGCATCACTTTGAGTCTATCTTACTTTCAAAACTTGACCTACATCGGCATCTCCTTGTGCTTCCTGTTTTATAGCAATGACCCGTTTTTCGCTGAATGATGACATTTCTACAGCTGATGAGTCATGTTCTTCTTTGATTTGATACATATCCAACAGAAAAAGAATCAAAATATATTAACATTGTAAAGTGTAATGCATTGCCACCGGAAACCTACAAACACTACAATTAAAAGGAAACAGTATTAGTTATATTATATGACAGAACATGACAACACACCTTGAATTCACTGTTCACAGTGCAGGAATTTTCCTGTTTTATATGAACCAATTCAAACTTGTTCAGCGCTGGGCCCGTGTTGGTGTATGGATCGAGTTCCACTTTGATCACGTCGATGTTGTGCTCCATCCCCACTTAAAAGAAATCAGAAACAAAGAAATGGGAAGTACAAACAACTATGGAACATGTGCAGTCTCTGCGACATTTACGTGACCTCAAACACAACTAACCACAATACTAAATGTATGTTTCTAACTCCTTGATCAGCTAATAGTTGTTTCATAGAGAATCTAGATTCAATAACATGTTCTAAGAGTCTACCAATGGATCCTAACCTCAGCCAAAATGATATAATCCACATTCTCATCCTATTTCCTTCAGCATCATCTTATTAATAACATTACATGCTCTTTTGTCTACTAAATGCATGATATAAAGGCACTTTCCTGAACAGAAGCAATGAGTTTGGATCCACACATGCTCACTGTCTGCTCTCGTTCCAACACAAAATACAGACAGATTTACGATACAAATCTCCTACAACATCGCGTTCCAGAATGGTTTCTGATTGCACAGTACACCTCGTGAAGTGAAGTTATGGGGAGCAAAACGGTGTCTGAAATTTCACGCATTGAATTTGTAGTATTTACGCCTACTACAACTAACCTAAAAATTACTGACAACTGCTTAAGCTGTCACCAAAATCCGTTTTACTTACCCTTACAAGACATTATAAGGTTAGAGGTACAGATTTTCAAATGTTATATGCCTCGTTAGAAATGTTCTGCAGCAATACCACAATGTCTTCTGACAGCACGATTCAAATCATTGAACATGGAATATTTAGAATGCACTAGAATAACAATTATGGATCTTTGAATTCGTTCCAAGTAACCAGTATTTGATAAAACTACGACGTATATTTATAATTTGAAACTCATGAACATCAATGTGAAGCAACAACAATATTTTCTATTCATGAATTGCCTGTTCTGTATTCTGTATTGCAGTTGGATGTAAGAATTTCCTTGCTACACGGCACATATTGCCTATTCACAAAGTGTCTAATATGCCGTGTTCATTATGAAGATAAAAATTGTAAAATGGGTGTATACCACGTATATCTGGTATCAGCCAGACTGGGATGGGCAACAATTTCTTGCTGCTTAGGAGTACACATATATAACGTAAATTATCTAAGCGTATGGACAAACACTTTGAACTAAAAATTGTACAGGTGTAGAACGTAATATTCCCGGAATTGCGAGCGGTATTGTCCTGTTGCTCAAATCCTTACATCCAATATCGAGAGAATGCCTGGACGTAAATGAATGAAATTTAATGCAAACGTTATATCATATCACTACTGCTCACACACAAATTCTATCTTTTTACACTCTGGACTGCCATTGTGATGGATGCTCAAATTCTAAAGATGGGATGAATGTATTTTTTTTATACCACCACTACACACAAACACAATCATCCGCGCATCACAAATTTAATTGTACCTAACCCAGCCCCTCATCTATGATATGGGAACTATCTCATTTGACTAAGGTCTTCATTTGAAATGAATTTTACAGGATTCCTTGTTTGGTAAAGTTGCATGTTTACAAAAAATGTTTTTTTTAGGTTTGTATGTTGATTTGTTTTAATTTTGTGGAATGAGGAAAATATTTTGAAGTAAATTTTAGACACATTTTTAACTTTCTTTCATGAAGTCAACTATGTTATTTTAAAAAAAATTAGTATGTTATTGGCATATTGAGACATTACACACTCAGTTGTATGGAGAAATATAACAATTATCCATTTTAATGTGAATACTGCCTTTCTTCTGTATGTTAATAACATACAATTTCGCTTACTTTCCACAACATTATTAACTTTTGTGGCCCTAATGAAACATGAATAGCCAATGTAGCCCATGGACAAAAATGTTGACAATGCTTGGTTTAAAAAACTGCGGTTCTCTCATATTGACTTGTACGCTGCCAAGTTACGGCAATTTATTTAAAAACTACTATGTAATCACCAACACGTTCACATATTAAATTACATTTTGTTTATCAGAGAACCCTCTGATTGCAGAATTAATGACACTGAAAAAAGTACATGATATTGCTGGAAATTAAAATTGCAAATGTAAAGGAAAGAAGGAAGAATGGTTATTTATTCTGAGAAAAAAGAAGGATCATGAATATATTTTCAGGTGAACTGCATAACTACTGAATTTTGGGGTAGGCAAATCAGAAACCACACTTAGTTCTGTTCTAATTGATTTCAGCAGTACATAGTGTCTGAACATCCAGTGGTTGTGGTACGAGCTGAACATTGTATTTTTCATCTCTAATTTCAAGACATTTATAAAATTCATGTGGTACTCTTCTTTGTTTATATGATGACATTGGCCAGCTGCACAGGTTGCATTATGTAAAATGGTAGGATGATGCTGAATGATTGCTCTGTAATCATCTTCTATAATGGCATGACAGCTGAACTATGAGACTTACCAATGCGATGTTTGATGTTTCACAAAAGACCAGGTTGTGTACTTTATACACTTTTTGTCACTCTACACAGTACAAACATAACACTAATTTGTAAATACAAAGGTAAACAATGGTAATTTCATGACCAACAATCTGAAGTTCTGTCTTGACTTGAGGCAAATGCACATGGAAGGTTGTCAGATATTTTGGAAGTCTTGGGTTTATATCGAAAGTCTGTGACAGCCTACTGACATGTGGCCCTGCCCCTTTCTTCTGTCATGAAACATTTCTGACATTTGATCCATGCCAATGAATTCAAGTAATACTGAACCCCATGTTTCAGACTGCAACAAGAGTATCAAACTATCGGAAAATAAAGCCATTCCTGATGTGGGATAAAAAAGACTAAAGAGGCATACACCACCTGTTCACTGTCAAAATTGACGTTTAGTAGATGTAAACCAGAGGGCACATCAACTGCTAGTGCAGTATAATCTGGACAGAATACTTGACCACAATCAAAAACCACCGTATTCTGTCGATGAATATGAACCGTGCCACTTTTGAGCAAGAAGTAAACTTAAATTTAAAGAGTACGACTCATCTTTTCGATACCTCATTTCAGAGCTGTAGCTGCGCATGCAGGGTTCCTTGCCTTGCTGGTGTTTGCTTCCATTATTGAGATGTTTGAAACTGTTATAAGGAGGGATTTACGAGCTCGCATCTGATCACGATGACTACGGCTGCTCAAGATCAGTTAGTGCCATTGCCGTGCATTACAAAACTTTGAGGTTTGTTTCATTCTGTGACCATTGGACTCCGTCTGACGATGAACTGTCACCACAGAATACACTTCTTTTCCGGGTTCATGGGGCTTCCAACGGGACACTCCCATGCCTTGGCAAACTCCTTGGAGTTGGAGAGAGTCCCAATAACTCTGAACCTGTTGGGGCTGTGTACTCCATCCACCACACGTGATTTCAGAGCTCCCCGTGTTGAATTTCCACACCACATCTGTAATAAAAACACTAGAGTCTCTTATAGCCTTTACATGGCATGTTTTATATCCAGTCATAACACTGTACGCTGAGGTAGTGCGCTCTAATCATTTCAACTGATGTGAGATAAATTCTTATGCCTTGGTTTCATTGACTTGATGCACAGATAATACAAAGCAACTGCACTTTTGCCAATATCGGTAGGTGAATTGTATAAGGGCTGATGTGCAGAACACGTAGCAATGGAAATTGAGAGATATGGTGAGAGAATCTGAAAGAAAGGGAGGGACTGCTTCACTGACTTTGGAATAGATGGGAGGATGTGTTACAAAAACAGATTACCTGCATTCATCTACCTGTGGGCACTACTTGTGATGCAAAATTGAAACTATGAATGGAAAATTCAAGTAATCGAATGTGTCAGTAGCAGTAATAACCCCTTTAATGTCTGCATATCACTAAGACCCATTTCTGTATGGCATTTTCTCAGTAATGTGACACAGGCATTCTTGTTTCTCCTATGATGTGCTTGTCACTACTGAGACAAAGTTTCAGACCCCATGCAGCTTATTAAATGGCAAAATGCACTGATGGATATATTTTATCAAGCAGTTCAGTTTTCTCCTGGCAATAATCATTCACCAATGTTCCATACTCATCTATCTGGGGCAGGTACAACAGACCATAACAGGCTGCTTAACCAGTACGCAGTCTGGCCCCACTCCTACTGCCAGTATTGTTTATCTTATGCAAGCTACACATTGAGGCTGTCATATCTCCTCTGACAAACGGGATATGAACTCCTGCACTCACATGTGCAAATCCAAGGAAGAACAGCTGTTCAGGAGAGAACTGTGTAAGGCCCGGTAACAACTGCTCGCCTGAATATCGGTCCTGAAACTTGCGGTATGCCCGCAGTGCCTCACGGAGGCCACCGTTGTCTGCGATGTTCTCTCCCTGTGTGTTGATGCCATTCACCTGGAACATGAAATGTGTCACAGCCTGCGCAAGGATCGATGCTGTGCAAAGGGAACATCTTAAACAGTGACTCACTGTGAAGTTGTCGCCAAGCTGCGACACATTGTACTGATTGTACTGCTGCACAATACACTGTACACGTTCCTCGTACTCTCGCAGCGTGTCCTCAGTCCACCACTGCTTGAGGTTCCCGTCCTTGTCATAGCGTCGACCTGTGGCAGCGTCAATCACGTCAAGAAATCAAATGACTGACGGTCGGAGTCAACAATCTCTCTGATGGCTTGCCTAATCAACCAGCTAGCTAACAGACTGAGTTTACTGATCAATCAAATAGATAGTGCAGGGTCTCGCTTTATTCTGTGTAATTATTCGGGTGAATGAGAAATTCCTTGCTGTTATGGAACACAAAGGATCATCACTAAATTCCACCATCTAATGCTATCATTAACAAGCTGCAGCTACGTTGCATTCTGATAAGCTATTTCGACACTTCATTCCCTGTCTAAATTCCAATCCCGATCACTCACCCTGATCATCAAATCCATGTGTCAGTTCATGCCCCATAATGGCTCCAATGGCTCCATAGTTCAGCGACCTGAAATCAACAAAATCACAGCCACATCTTACTGTCCAGAGGACAGACGTGGATCAGTTGCTCAACAACAGCAATTACATTTGTCTCTGTCTGTCTGTACTGACACGGGCATGAATTATTTTGATTTTAGAGGTTGTGCCTAATATGGTGATGGTCTACAACTTTGTATGAAAACATATTATTACTCATAATATTGAACAAATTCTGTATAAGAAATGTTTCCACTGCTAATATGCAGTTAAGATGTTCTACTGAAGGCTAATGTGTGATGATATGGTTTCAGTTTCTGCATCATAGAAATAATGAGTTCACTCATTACCCACAAAACAGTTGTCAAACAAATCAAATCTGAAAACTTTCTTTCAGTGTACAGCAACAGCGACAAATTCTTGAGAAATGTGCGATAACTTTGTTATTTGGATGAATTTCACTAACAAATTACAATGGATGCTTTAGTTCAGAATTAGTTTAAAAAGTGAAAAATTCAGACTTACTCCAGTCCTAAACCATAAAATGGAGGTTGAAGAATTCCAGCAGGAAATGCTGAAATAAAAATTAAATATAATTGTTACAAACAAAATGGTATCATGGCGATGTTGGTCTTGTGGGCAGCAGCGCTGCTCCAGCTGGAACCCTGGGAATGCAGACGGTACGTTCGTCAAAAACGGCGGTGGAATCCACCTACACCTCCGCATAGTGTTACTGCCCAGAAGACCAACAATGAAATCTTCACTGTCTTGAGAATCTCAGATCTCCAGAAATGTGAACATAATTAACAAATTAAAAACTGTGTTACGTTAAAGTTGGTACATACTGACTGAGTTGAGGATGGGTGAGTAGAAGGCATTGACAGTGGTGGCAGGCGTGACCCATCTGAAACACGTCACCAGACCGACAGGGAAGTAATACATAAACACTGATGAATAGGAAAACAAAGCACTTTAATCCAATGTACTGTGTCGTGCCCACACCTGTCGTGGTCTGGAGTCTTCCGCAGATCCTGCACTGCTGTCTTAACAGATTCCTTGGACAGCCTTAGGTATGTCTCAAAGAGCAGCCCATCCACCACTTCTGCCTAAAACATGGTGCATGCGTGTTAGTGCCACGGCATGAAGACAGGCTGACAGAGACCAGTCAGAAGCAACAGTGTCCCTCACCGCCTCATAGTACTTTTCCAGCTCGCCAGGTGTCAGCAGCCAGCCAGGGAATCCTATAAATGGCCTCATTGCGTGTGCCTTCTCCAGAGTCCTTTCCTTTGTTTCAGTATCCATCCAGTCCAACCCCATGACCATTTCAGCGAAGGCTGTCCGGATGTCATTCACCATCTCCAGTGCCTGCAATGCCATCACGTTACCAAACTACGTCACTCCCTGGACTTGTGCATCTGTGCAACTGCAAAATATATATAAACCTATTGTACCTTTCTTTGGAAAGATGACTAGAGTGTTCCTTCACCACCACTTCAAAACCTGGATTCTGATCCAGCGAACTAATTCCTGACAATTCATTTTAACCTTTGTCATTCGCATATTACTCCTTGCATGCAAAGAGAACCTGAAGATGACCAATTAAGGTTGAGACATGCAGTGAATTCTTAATAAACATTATAACTATAATAAAAAATTGTTGTGTAGACAGACTGTCAACCTAACTAATAGATTTGCTTCGTTTTATTAAATGTGCTGACATTTCTAGTTCACACGTGAATCCCCGTTTGTCACAGTTCTTTCAAACCTGTTGGGCCCAAAAAACTGTAAAATATTATATCTCGCCAGAAACTGGACACCAGAAGTGATGATAACAGTTTCTGAACCAAATAATACGACCAATTTATGAATTATTAATTATTCTTCCACTTTCTTACTACGAACCCACATTTATACGACACCGCTGCTGTAGATGTTCCTATGCATTATAACTCAAAATATTTACCTTCTCCCTAGATTCGTTGTTGAAGTGTTTCTGCACATAGAGGTAGCTGACAGCCATCCCAAAGTTCGAGTTCACATTCCCAGTACAGCCCTTCCACCTGAGCACACAAGCAGTAGAGTTGATCCTTAGCATGCCTGCTTGGAAATGTTCTTCCCGCTTAACATCTTTTCCAAATAAGGCACAACTGCATACATTATACACAGAGATTTACTGACCCATCACATTTAGCTGGAAGCACAATTCCAATATGTACTTCTGCTACCTTCAGTCCAAGTTCCTATAAAAGCAGCTTACGCAATACAAAATTATACAGGAAGGCAACATTTTAACATTTTATCTGCACTTGTAACATACTTACTTGCTCATGCCACGGAGCTGAGAAGCTAACAGTGACTCAGCGACACAAGAAATTTCCAAAATTTTATGGAACCCGAAGGTTCATTACCATGTTCACAAGAGCCCGCCGCTGATTCTCACCTCAGCCAGAAGAATCTGGTCCATACTACCCCATCCTATTTTCTAAGATACATTTTAATATTATCCTCCCACTTATGTCTAGGTCTTCCTAGTGGCGTCTTTCCTTCTCGTTTGTCCACCAAAACTCATCAAAAGACACGGTGGTCTATTTTGTGGTACAATCCAAGCTTTTGTTTGGAGGGACTGAGGAAAACCATAGATAAGATAAACTGCAGTGGTTACCACATTCACCTGGGAGTCTTTTGCTGTAGTCCAAAAACTTTCTGGCTGAACCGGAAAGAGAGATCCCGGAACTCTTGCAGCGTGAGTGGAGCTAGGGTTGAAACGAGGCTCCACCACACAAACCGCTCTGCGGGCAAAAGGAACATCATCACCAACAGATACAGAGGAATACGTGCATCAACTCCTCAGCTGCCCGAGACAAACTCTCGAGCCGTTCAAATGTACTGTGAATCAAAATAAAGTACTTCATTGCTTTCAATCATCTTTACTTCAGGAAATCAGCACAGATTAAAATTGAATTTGTTGTGAATGCCCAACAGCCATTTTGACTCAAAAAGTGGACTTGCCGAGTGTGTCCTGGTCAGTGACAGACACCAATGCTGATAACTTCTGAAGATAACTGATGTCCATGACAACCAGGTGGTCAATGTCATAGTCCAGTGTTACGTTGGTATCGTCCACAATGTAGTCCAGGAACCTTGTCCAGTTGAGCTGTAAAGATCAACAAAATGACTGACTACCCAACTTACAGGCATTCTGACGGACTTCCAGCATAACATACGGTTCTCCTTGAGCACCCGGTCAACAAACTCCTTGATATTATGCAATCCAAAGGTTCATGACCACATTCATAAAAGCCCCATACCTTGCTGTTGAGGCTGCCGTCCTCCTCTCCAAGGTCCGTGAGGTTCTGCAGTGCAAACACTGACATCTCGTGAAAGAGGTTCTTGGTATCACGCCGCACCTCAGCAGGTGTCATGATCTGCGAACGCACAAACCTACATTCCTATGGTTTTTCAACTGTTAATTGTGGAATCAGCTGTAGCCTATTTCAAGGCAAAGCTTCGCGTTTGCGTCTGCCTTTCAGTACTGAGGAGAAAACGAAATCGCGTCTCGAGAGCTGGTCTGACTATCGAGATTGAAAATAGGTATTCTCAAACACAAATATGCATTCTTCACATTTAACCACACTATAAGCTTTGTATGTAATCAGTGTTCCCGGTATTCGGACCAAGGAATTTGGTGTAATGGATTTATCTTCACTACGTTTGGCGACTCTCTCCACGCAGATGCCGAGACACGTCTCAATTACCTGAATAAAAAAATAAAATTAAACTTTCCCCCACAATTCCTAATTTTGGTGAAATTCTCAGAGGTGCTTTTTGACGGGACAAGCAGATACACGAAGAGACAAGATATCTGTAGTTTGTGTTCGTTCTGGCTGTACCAGACTGATGATGCAGGTTGCCTACCACCCAGAAACCTTCGTACTCACCGCAGCCAGCTGTGTGCTGAAGTGGAGAATGTCATCTGCAAAAAGTGTGGCATTGTGGGCTGTGGAGCTGGGCAGGTGGCGCTGAAACACGTGCACCATGTCACGGATGTAGTTGTGGTACTCGCTCAGTTCGGTCTGGAAGCGTGCTGGGTCCAGCAGGTAGCGCTCGCTGATGCCGGGTGAGATCTGGTCCACCTGTACAGTATGAATCTCTTATACAGTCCCTGAAAATGCAAAGCTTCCTCAAATTATGAGGCGGTACTGTCGCGCATGAACGGACGTGTGGCAAGAGGAAGACGCAGAACAGGCACTCACCACCATGAGGTTGCGTGACGTGTTGCGCACGTCCTGGCTGACCCAGAAGCCCACCATCACATTGAGTCCCAGCAGCCTCTGCGCCTGCCCCACCGTCTGCAGCCAATCGAAGGGCTGTCCAGAGGGAGGTACACTAGTGGCACTGATTCCAACTTCCTGCAGCACAGCGAGCATCGGCTCAAGGCCCAGGGTCTCCAGCTTGTCTGCAACAGGGCACAGCCACGGCCAAATGCTCTACTGAGAATGCAAGGTAATCCGTCTAACAGAGCCCAGTGAAGCGAGACGGAGTTTGGGTCATTAGTGAAATTAGTGGCTACTTATACGTCACAAGGCAAATGGTCCCTGTTGTGAAAACAAAACATTCACTGCCATCAAAATTTCAATGTCCTGAGCACTGAATACATACCTGTGTCCAGACATACTCGGTACAGCATCCTAGCCTGCTGGACCGGCTTCACATCATCCTCAGAGCCGTCCTCTTCCAGAAGTCCTGGACACAGAAAAAAATCATACTGGCTGCCTGGTTCAAAATGGTTATTATTCTAATTATAATATTCAAATTTGGACCAACATTTAATCTATACTGCAAGGTACAATTATATTTCTGAAAAATCATGAAATTAATCTCGTATCACTCCCAAGACCACAGCATGAAATTCAGATGAAAAGAAGCAACGGTCTTTGGGATCGTTGATGCACGAGACTCGTGTCCACGTGATTAGACAAAGAGAATCTTTCTGGTCGCTGCACCTCTGAGTTGGACGAGCAGCTGCTCCCGCAGGGCTCTGAACTGGTCCCACGAACTCTGTGATTCTGGCACTGGATTCTGGCTGATCCAGCCACCGCACGCAAACTGGTAGAAGTCTTCGCACGGATCTGTGCTCCTGTCCACACTCTCCAGGATCCGCGCCGCTTTAACAGAAAGACCCAGTAATTCTAATTTTTCAGTCAGTTCAGTTCAGAATGCCAGGAAAAGTACGTGAGCACGTGCCATGCGCTGGGCGTGCATTCATTTAGGTTGCAGAGAGTGGCAAGATATGAAAACTGGCAACAGGAGTGAATCTTCTGGAAAAATTATGACAAGGGAACTGAAAGTTGTGTTCCTAATTTACAATTGCAGACACTACAAGCAAAGAGACAGAGAAAATTTCTTGTTTGCTCGACCTCTCCTTCTCCGTTCCCAAATTCTTGTCATATATTTTTTCATCTCCTTCTTGCTCTATTTACTCCTGGGTAAGTCCTGACCCGCTCAAGTGTACGTTCAGAAAGCAGTGCCCCAACGAGCTACTTACAACTTTACAACTCAGAGTGCGCTGTGTCCTTACCTGACCTAACACATTCTTCTGTCAAGCAGCTGCTGGCTGCCAGTCTGCGCTGCGACTGCAACATTCGCTGTTCGGCCCTCATGTCTGGAAAAGACCACGTTCAGAAACCAACACTTTTATCAGATATTAACATTTGACCTCAATGAACACTGGCGTGGCAAGAGGAGTCACTGAGGTACTCGCCCCGGCCTTTGGGGAACCTGCGCAAATACAAAGTCAGTGTTCTGTAATAAAAGACCGCGGAGGCAGGCCGAGAGTCACAGCAAATGTGCATGAAAATATAATTTGTGTGGTGCAAAAGGAAAGATTTTGAGGTTATGATCGCCTTGACAACAGAGTTAAAACTCACTGACTGTGGTGAGAACCGCGACGGTCGCTGCCAGTGCCACGACGGCCGTGGCGAGGAGAGCGATGACCACCACCAACCGAGCTGAGGCCTGGCTCCTGCAACAGATGGCATCAACTGTAGGATCCTCAGGGCAGATAAAACTCGAATCTTCTGTGCTTAACTTCCATACGGATGTCACCTCCGCCTGCCATTACACCAAAACTCAAGATTTTTTACATCACACCCACAGTAATTACCCCTTCTAAAAACGCTACTGGTAGCTCAGCAAGTCAAAATATTTCCTGTTATTTACAGAAACTGAATGTTCATAACAGCCAGACACATTCAACCCTTAAATCCTAGTTCTTTGAGTCCCGTCTCAATATCATCCTCCACATCTACAAGCAAAATGGCCGCTTTTCTCATCTCTCCCATGCATGCTACATGCCGCGCCCATTTAATCTCCCTTGGGTTAGAGCAATAGAAATTTTATGGTCGTGTAGCCCATGGGAGCGAGGTTCATTCTGCAGCTTTGAAGGGGTTCCCCGGAGTTCAAGATCCACTGGTCTCGAGGCATTTCTTTACTCGCGTTAAAGCACCCTTCGGTTTATCCTGAACCTGAAACTCTCCTCCATTGCCGAGGTCAACAACTCGTGGAGGGCTGCCTCCACGCCCGGTGCGGTGCCGTGCGACAGAGAACGGAATCTGTTCGTCTGGAGGGGCTGAGAAAAACTACGAAGGTCTTGAATCAGGAGTATTATTATTCTGATATGTTGGTTGGGAATTATTCACTACTGTTTCTGAAATAAAAGTAATACAAATTAAATAATTCAAAAATTTCGGAAACTGGCTATACGAGTCGAAAGGCGCAACTCCATTTAATGCCTACGGGACAAGCAATGAGCGTTCTTGAACGAGCCCACAAGCAAATGCAATGTAAGAGCAAGGCTGATTTTTGCAATGAAGCAAACAACGAATTGCGGGAGGAGAACCACAAACACGTGGACATTGATTTTGTCTACTCACCCGGTGCTGCCATCTGCTCGGCGATGCGCGGCAGCCGTCTCGGGATCAGTCACCTGCAACAACGAGTACGACCGTCCTTAACACTTTCTCCGTGTTATCATATCACATGACCTCGTTCTAAGCGTCGGCGTGTGGATCATTCAATATCACCAGTGAGCGGCGTTCAGCACAAGCGAAACTAAAATATCTTCACCTCGAACACCGATGTCTTTTTCGTCGCACTGAAAGCGAAGACAACTCTGAGTGTGAAAAAGATGTGGCTAAACTAAGCACGCTAAGTTGGACCTACGGAAACGCCGTGACTTCGTGGTGCCAACCTCTGCATGTTCTGAACACGGCAAGGCGTACCACTCTCTGTTTTTGTACACCCCTACCCGTAGCCGGCTGGTGTTTCGCTGGCACCGCCCCCTCGAATGCAATGTCAGGACTCGAAAGGGCTTGCTGCCAGCCAGCCTGGGTCTCTCCTCGTAATCGCGTAACGCGAGACTCAGCTCTGAACTGTGAGCCACTCGTCGTGGCCTTCGGAGAACCTCGGACCGTAACAAATATTTGCAGAAGACAAGCTCCCGAGTTCTTCCGTCCACAAGTTCACTGCACTGTTTATTATCGTCTAACAGTAAGCGCGCGTAACCATATTTAACCTGTTCGCTGCCACGAAGGTCACAGAACTACATCTTCTGTCGGAGGCTCACTCTTCATGGGCCGAAACAGGGCGAGTTGCGACGCGTGGGGTTTCTGTCAGGCGACTCATACAGCGAGGGCTCCGAATTTCATGCCCGGGAAAAATTGCTGCGGGCCAAAATTAAGTACGACCTCCAAGAAAACACGCCGAGTCTCAGATACAAAGAAAAGCCAAACGACGGCTGCACCAGACAGTCACTTGTTGCGTTCGTCGTGACAAATCCCGCGAGGCAAAGCGACACCATTGAAAGCGGACGAAGGACGAAGCAGCAAGACGCTCTAGTTCCGTCGTTTGTCTCAACGAAGCAGAAACAACCTTTTTCATCAGTGCCCGCTCGATAATTCGCAGACTGCAGAAGTAACTGCTTAAGTGGCGAACCAAATTTCTCCTTTCAGCAGATAACAGACCCAGTCATTAATCTGCCCGAGGAACTAGTGTCTTTTTTTTATGGCTCACAAAAGTTTCGGAGCAATTTCAGTGAGAACAATCGCGTCACAGCGTTCACATGTCGACACCGCAGCGCCACTTCGGTTATCGAAGCGACGGGCATCGAGCAAACTACTTGCAACTCGTTCTTGACAAACTTACGAAATCGTATGTATGAAAGGAGCAACAACGCAAAGCCGTGAGTGCCTCATCACGAAGCCTCGAGCCTTGCAGACGCAACCCACAGTCGCTAGTCGCTTCATTTCAGAATGAACTCGCATTCTTCACGGTGTATAGGGGGCATGGAGAAAAGCTCTGTGTGTAAGTTCATGCTCGATTCATCTATAGCCACATGCGTGCACCGAAGAATAATTAAGAGGCGCCAATTAATTGTAAGATGAGCAGAGCACGTAGCACGCGTGGAAAATAAATAAATAAACGGCTGATAAACCACCGAGTAGAAGGGCCGATGATATTGAAACGAACGGTCGAGGCCACGACAGAATCGGAGCTTTTGCGAACACCGTGTAGATGTTGAGCAAGCTGCGCGTTCCTTCGCTATCAGCCGCTGTTCTTGCTGATTGGTCCCGGTTGACAGAATATTTAGCGACTTTCTCCATCTTTTCTCCAACTGAGAGGATTCAGGCTGCGTTGCGTCAAACTCAGACAAAGAGGAGTCGATCGACGGGCGGGCGGCGATGTTGGCACCACTGAGGTTTGTGGGATGTCGCTGAGGTGACGACGGAGAAGATTTTCGCATTTGACGTCACGAACGACGGCCTGCGACATCCCAGGGAAATAAAAAAACACTCAAACGAAGCGACAGAGTCCGCGGGTGTTTTGGGCTCTCGGTGTCAACTCGAGTGCAAGAGGGACCTTTAACACAGTTGATATTTGTTCCACTCATAAAGCAGGCTGCGAGGTTGTAGCTCGGTGGATTTTGTCGTCGTGGCTTCCTTCCGCGCGCCAAACGCCTTCGTGTTATTGTTCACTGTAGGAACTCTGTCGTTGTCGTCCTTTCTGTGAACCCGATGACTCATCTGTTGATCTACTGTGAGGCATCTTTCCTTTCGTTTTATTTTTTTGTCCAAGGGCAAGCCGACGCTCACAGACTGTTTCTTGTCTCTTCCAATTGAAATGTCCGTTCACATTCCAATCACGCGATTTACAACGAAGACGGCTTCTCGCCTTTCTACATCGCTAATTCTGCGACCAGAAGTCTCAAGATGTCGCCGAATGGTGCGAGATGCAGTCGCATCGGATCCCACAATTACGCGTTTTGCGACTGCTTCAGGAATATTTTTAATTAACAGTAAATACGAACATTTGATGAGTACAGCGATCCAACTGGCGCACGAGGTTTCCTCTAGTCCAATCACCGAACACGGCGAAAACCCAGCATTCCGTCTGTCCAGCGAGAATCGAGGGTAAAGCCAGTCGCACCGCGATCTATTAACACTCCATGTCACGTGACATATTAGCAGCGAAGCCTCCACAGGGTGGCCACAAATTCTGTTCCCACATCACGTCCTCTTACATTTTTATTAGCTTCTGCAATGTTAAATGTTTTCGAGCTCCCCAATTAAAGGGGCGTCACGCGTGT